TGGATTACAAAAAATTTGATCATGGATTACATAAAATTCGATCATGGATTACATAAAATTCGATCATGGATTACAAAAAAAACAAACAAAAAAAAACCAAAAATTCAATCGTGGATTACAAAAAAAGAAAAAAACAATTCGATCATGGATTACAAAAAATTCAATCATGGATTACAAAAAACTCTATCATGGGTTACAAAAAAAACAAAAAACAAAAAATTCGATCATGGATTACAAAATAATTCATTTATTTATTTATTTACAAATGCATAATAGTGATGAGTATGACCTATCAACATCTAAATTTTGAGCTTAATCGGATGTATAGAAAAATATTAAAAATGAAAACAAAATTTATGCTCTAAAAATTTGAGATCTAGAATCCAATAACATTTATTGCTAGAGCTTTATAATCTAGTAACATCTATTACCGGACCGCCCTTTGCAACGGCCAGATTGCCTTTTGCAACGGTTGGACTGCATTTTACACATAGTTGGAGCCTTACTACCGGACCGCACCTTTACACAGTGCCGGAGCCCACTAGAAAGTGCCGCAACCCACTAGAAGAGAGAAGTGTGTGTAAGGTAAAAATAATGAAAGGTAATTTAGATATCTTTTTATTTTTTATTTTGTAGGAGGGTTATTTGCATGAAAAATATTTTTGAGGGAATATGGGAGAGGTTGCATACAAATATTGTCTTCGCTTTTTTTTTTAATTTTCCCAAAAAATAAATTACTCATACGCCCTCCCGCAACTTGAATAAAAGATCCAAATTCTGAAACACCCAAGAGTTGAACCCCTCGAGCGCCCCTCTTGACTCTTTGCTCTGAGAAAGGAAAGAAAATAGTGAACCCTAGCCCTAGAACAACAGTTCAAGCCACACACTCTCTCTCTTCACCTGCTCAAGCTCGAGGCTTCTGAGGACTCATTCTGATCCGAAAAATCTCCCTGTTCCATTTTCAGAGAGAATCAGAAGAGGTTACCTTCTAGCGTCACTCAAGTTTCAATCTCTCTATTTTTCTCTTCTCTAACCTCTTTTTTTCGTAATTTCTTCTATCTTTTATATACAAGCTCTAATTTATCCATTCAATGGAACTTCTAATTTTCTTTGCCCCTTTTTTGCCCTAGTTTCCCCATTCAAGGAGACCCTGATTTCTTCATTCAGTGAAACCCATAGTTGTATTCAATAAGACTTTAATTATATCCTTGAAATTTCGGTGGAGTTATTTTTTGGGAATATTGGGTAAGATTTTTCATGACATTGATGGCAATTATACTTTTTTTTTCTTTATTTTTCCCACTTACTTTCCTTGTACTTGTCACGAATGGAAGTAGTTGTGTTTTATTTAAATTTCTTTTTTCTTGTTTGTGGAATTGTTACAGCTTACCCTTTTTCATGCTTTTCTTTTCTCTTTAAATAAAAATTATTGGATTTTTTTTTTTGTATTGGTCATTTTTTGTAATATGTTTTGGTTTTTTGATCGCTCAATTTATGAGGTGAGCCGGTGTAAGAAAACAAGGAGTTAGGTTGGGACTTGCCAGGGTCCCAAGCCGGAGTCAGGTCTGACAGACTCAGCGACAGAGATGCAGCCAAGTCCGAATAAAATAAAAATTAAATATTGGGAACTGGACAGACTTGGGTGATTTCCATATGTTTCGTTCTCCCTGACTTTTTTCCAACACCAGGATGAAATCACATTTGGTTGTTTCCAATGTTTTTATGTATTTCTTTGGGCTAGATCTACGTGATCATTGTTTTCAGTAATTATATTGAATTTAGTTGCTGTGAGTATTCATACTTGATTCTCTTAGTTTAGTACTTATATGATCATTTCGGTGGTGTTTCTATATTTCTGTATATGATATTGCAGTGGTATTTTCAATATATATATATAATTATGTTTTTTAGTAACTGAATTGAATTTTGGTTCTGTGAAGAATGCTTCGTAATTCTTGTAGTATTTAGTATTATGTTTTTACTATTGTGATATTTTTAGTGTTTCCTTATGTGAAATTTTGTGGTGTTCCTGGCATTTATGTGATCATTGTTTCAGTAAATGTATCACATAATTAAGTTTTTGTGAGTAATTCTATTAATTATCTTGGATAAAGGCTATAAATGCTGATTTTAGAATGTGATCCCCTTCATAAAGAAAGCTTTTATTTTTCATTCATTTGTTTCATTTTTGTTTTCTTGGCAGGAGCATTATATTGCCTCAATAAAGATGTCACATCCTTTGCCTTCTAAACGAAAAACAATATCGTCTGTGTGGGATGAATTTGAAAAGGTTAGATCAGAAGATGGTAGTGTTAAAGCAGCTTGTAAACATTGTCACAGAAACTTAGTTGGATCTAGTGCACATGGGACAAGTCATTTAAAGAGACATTTAGGAAGATGTGCTAAGCGAGTGCATATAGGTTCAGGGCAACAACTAGTAGTAACATGTATAAAGAAAGGGGAAGCTAGCTCGGTGAATTTTAAATTTGATCAGGGGCGAAGTCGATATGATCTTGCAAAAATGATTCTCTTACATGAGTACCCTTCTTCAATGGTAGAACACACTACTTTTAGAACTTTTGTAAGAAATCTTCAACCTTTATTTAGTATGGTTTCCCCAAGTACCATAGAATCTGACATTATTGAAATTTACAAGAAAGAGAAAAAGAAATTGTATGAGGAGTTAGAAAAAATTCCTAGTCGCATCAGCCTCTCTGCTAACATATGGTCTTCATGTCAGAATCTAGAGTACTTATGCTTGATCGCCCATTATATAGATGATGCTTGGGTATTGCAAAAACAGATCCTAAGTTTTGTAAATTTACCATCTCGTACCGGAGGTGCCATTGCTGAAGTGCTCTTGGATTTGTTATCGCAGTGGAACGTTGACAAAAAATTGTTTAGTATAACCTTAAACAGTGCTTCCTATAATGATGTAGCTGCATCATCCCTTAGAAGTCGATTATCTCGAAATTCATCACTACCACTTGAAGGTAAGATATTCCATTTGTGTTGCTGCTCTCATGTTGTGAACCTTATGGTGCAAGATGGATTAGAGGTTATACAAGAGGTGCTTCAAAAAATTCGTGAGAGCATCAAATATGTCAAGACATCACATGTGAGGCAAGAACGATTCAATGAGATAATCAACCAACTTGGAATTCAAAGTAAACAAAATATATTTCTTGATGTTCCAACTCGGTGGAACTCGACTTATCATATGTTAGATGTTACTTTAGAATTGAGAGAAGCATTTTCTTGCTTTGCTCAATGTGATTCCATGTGTAACATGGTGCCATCTGAGGATGAATGGGAAAGAGTGAAAGAAATTTGTGATTGCTTGAAACTTTTTTACGATATTACAAATACATTTTTGGGGAGTAAATATCCAACAGCAAATCTTTATTTTCCTGAGGTATATCAAATGCATTTGAGGTTAGTGGAATGGAGCATGAGTTTAAATAAGCATATTAGTTCCATGGCGATCAAGATGAAAGAGAAGTTTGATAAGTACTGGAAAATATCCAATTTGGTTTTAGCTATTGCAGTTGTGATTGATCCTCGTTTCAAACTAAAGTTTGTAGAATATTCATACTCCCAGATATATGGCAATGATGCTGAGCACCATATTAGGATGGTTCGTCAAGGTGTTTATGATCTCTGCAACGAGTATGAATCTAAGGAACCATTGGCTTCCAATAGCGAGAGTAGTTTGGCTGTTAGTGCATCAACTTCTAGTGGTGGTGTTGACACCCATGGTAAGTTGTGGGCGATGGAATTTGAAAAATTCGTACGAGAGAGTTCTAGCAACCAAGCCCGAAAGTCAGAATTGGACCGTTATTTGGAAGAACCCATCTTCCCACGAAATCTAGATTTCAACATTCGGAACTGGTGGCAACTGAATGCACCAAGATTTCCCACCCTCTCTAAGATGGCTCGTGATATTTTGGGGATTCCAGTTTCCACTGTTACATCAGATTCAACATTTGACATAGGGGGACAAGTTCTTGATCAGTATCGTAGCTCTTTGCTTCCAGAGACTATACAAGCCTTGATGTGTGCGCAGGACTGGCTTTGGAATGAATTAAAAGGTAAAAAATATCAAATTTAAATGGCTACTGTTTGTTTCATTAATTCATTCTTGTAGACTGTAAGTTGTTGCAACTTAATCATTACAATTTTATTTGCATTTCAGGTGGGAAATCATCTTCTATTGTTGCATGGTAACCTCGTCTTCGTAAGTTCATCGTCGTGGTCTCTAGGAGGTAAAAACTTCAAATTTAAATGGTTGTTGGTTCTTTATTTTATTCTTCTGACTTGAATTTTTTTGCAATTTACTTATTACAATTTTATTGGCAATTCTTGTAGTGCATTACCTTGTCTTGGTAATCCCATACTTGTGGTCTTTGGTAATGGCATTGCTTGCTTCCTATTAAAATCCAGAGCTGTCTTTTCTTTTACAATTGGGAACCTATAACCAACAAAGGAAGTCATCCCATTACCAAAACATGACTTTGAATCTTATGATTTAAGGTTCCATTATGTTTGTGAATTTTCGCAGTTCTGTGCCGCCCAACTGCTACTTTCAACTCTTTGATTCATCAGTTGGGAGATTGATGTTGATAAACGACTGGCCCCTAGTTCCATCTCGGGTATCGGGTGTTTTTTGCATCAATCACTCATGGTATTACCTCTCTCAAGACTTTAAGAAGCTCTTTCTTTTATGACGTGGGGAGTGAAGAATGAAGTTGGCTTCAAACTCCAATGAAGCTTTCAGGGATTTCCAAAAGGTTCCCTGTTATCCAAGATGGGTTGGTTGACTTGCGTTCGTGGTGGTAGTTCATGATTTACGAGCTCATGTTTGGGTTTGAAATAAGGAGAAGGGATGGCAGGAACTGGTTAATGTGGATTTAAACTAATTTGCAATCAACCAATATTGGATAAATCCACTTCTCTTGGTTGATGAGATGCTCCTCATGGATACCGGGGATGGCAGGAACTGGTTAATGTGGATGTGAAGCAATTTGGGATCAACCTAACTTGGATAAATCCACTTCTCTTGGTTGATGAGATTCTCCTCATGGATGCTTGGCGAAAGTACATTGCATGTTATATAAAGAGTATTGAGTCAGATGTCTGAAACAAACTTTTTTGCAACCAATCCTGTTAAATGAAAATTTTGGGAGGTGGAGTTGGACAGCAGGTTGATAATCTCAAGTACATGAAATATTCATTTGTAAGCGTGATTATTTTTCGTTTCTTTTTCATTTTTCTTCTTCCCTCTAGTGGTTTTTATTTTGGATTCTCCACTTGGAATTTGTTGTTGCTATGTTACTTCAGGAATTTTTTATTTGTAACATGAACTAGATGACTACTATCAAAACTTTTTAAGTGCGGCCTACGTCGCTGTGACTGGGGTAGCAACCTTATTTTCTTTTACACAGAGCTGTCCTAGTTTTACTTGTTTGGCATATAGTTCTGGTATATGCATGAGGGCATTGAATTGTTAATATTCATTGACTTGTTATGTTTTTCTTTTATGATTAGCATTGACTGACTAGTTTTTTATGCACTAAAGGATGTCCATTAATTGTTTTTTCCACAAATTAACCATGTTTCATTTCTGTGTGAGTGTATGACAGGAAACAAATCGATCATTATTTTACATTTTGATACTATGAATTGTTCATATTATGTACTTCATAACAATTATCGATCATTATTTTATATTTTGATACTATGAATTGTTCATATTATGTACTTGATAACTATATGATTGTTATATTTGAAATGTGTGATTTTCCAAAACCTTCTCTTGATATGTTGGTCTTGTTCATCTAAGTAGTGATATGTTTGTATGAATCTAAATACACTTCTTGTTTGAATGTGTTGCCACTACATCTTTATATTCTTGAGTATTGCATTTATATCAAGCAAAAGAAAAGCGATTAAATTTTTAAAAAGAAAAGCGATTAAATTTTTAATGGACCTTTTTTTTTATATATATATTCTCTCATTTTAAGAATTGAATTTTTCTCATTGGGTAAAACAAAAACCGGTTTATTGTTTTTATACTCCAATCATTTGCAAGATGGAGTTTTATTAATTAAACTAATCCACTCTGTAAGTCTCGGTTACGGCCTCCAATGCCATAAACCTGTCTAGTGTAAGTTTTCTCCAGAGATGAGCTAGATAGGGGCATGGTGCATTTTGCTTATCAATTTTACCTCTTTCATTTCTAACCTCTCTCTCTCTCATGAATTGGAATTCTGTTCTATTCATCCATTAACTACCTCTAGATCCTTTTACTTGGCTATGCTATAAACCTATAAAATCCTAACCCTGTGAATAGGGCGGCAATGGACCCCGACCCTGGACGTGAGGGGTAGACCCGATCCGAGAACACGTGGATGCACATGCGTGTGCACACGCACATATGCAATATGTAATCCAAGGATATCTTAATTGGACTTGGAGAAGTGCATGAGATGTTAACATAAAGTGTGTTTCTTTGAGATCATTCTGCTTCAAGTTGGGAATTACATTATTTGTTTCCTTCCTCAATCAACGGACCGTATTTAGGAAACTATAAAGCACTAAAGAGTAAGGTTTTCGCTTAGCCTTGAGATAATCGAAGTTCAGAGGGGGGTGCCGATGATGGGAAAGGTTTCTATGCTTCCCCTACAGCATAACTCATTGTTAGATTTTCGATCCGATGTATCAAAGTATTTTATTTTTAGTTTTTTTTTTTATACAAATTGTAGGAATATGAAATTTGGTACATGCTATTTTCTCATTGGGGCACACCTATAAAAAGTATTAAAATTAAGTTTTTGATAAAATATAATGACCAAAATACCCCTTGAAACTTTCAGGGGTATTTTAATCGTTTTATTTTATTGAAAATATTTGTTTTATATTTTTCGCTAGTGCGAGTTTAATAAAGGAATGGACGTCCAAAATTTGGTGTCAAAATAGTTTATAGAAAAAAAAATTAAAAATAAAATAATGTAGAGACATGATATTGTGATTGGAGCAATCTTAGCCTTCTATTCAGAATGGACGGTTGGATGAAGGGGAGGATATAATTTTTATGCTTTAAGGGAAGAATATAAAGCTTGCCCATTACTGATTAGGAGATTATTACTTATTAGGCGGTCTCCGTAAACATTGAAGAGTTACTTGGATCTTTAGAAAATATTTTCCAAAAAAATTTGTTCTTATATTTTGCGAAAAGTATTTCCTGTGAAATGGATTCCTCCTGTTTGGATAATATCTGGATGCAACTTGAAGGATACATTTCTATTGTTCGGATCATTTGGAAGAAAGTGGTAAGTAATCTATCAAAAAAGGAGTTGGTTCCATAACTTAAGATTTAAATTCAAAATCTATAAAAGAAATCCGAATCACAAATTAAAACTAAATATTTGAGAATTCAATCTGCTGAACTAAATTATGTGGTATCAATTTTCTACAATTCAATGGGACATGGTGTTTTTTTCTTCATATTAGAAGACTTCCAGAGGCTCTCTCTTGTCAAATTCATATCCATAAAGCGGTCATATACCAAAAATAAAGCCCAAAAGAGAGAGATACAAGAGGGCGAATACCAGAATCAGGTGCTTTCATGAGAAAGAGAATTGAATTATGCAGAGCCAAGAAGAGGCGACCAACTATAAATTGTGCATCATCTCTCTCTTGAGGCCCATGTATTTCCCGGACAATTAGTGGTTTACAATACTAAAAACTTCCACAGTAACATGGTGAGGGCAGCTGGTTTGAGCTTAGAATGATTGCGAATGATGCAACCATAGCTAGAGCCCTCTGTAAAACCTGAGAATTTGCAATGAAAACAAGAGGTCTATGTGTTGTCTCCCTTTCTTTAGTAGTAAAAGACCCACCTTTATGAACACACAAATTCATGAGAGCGAATTGCTCTTCTCCATTACCGAAAAGAGAGAAAAAATCTTACCCTTGTTGGTCTCTGCTATGCTTCCATTGTTGTCTTCCTAAACCCTATCTAGGGTTTTGACAATGGTTTTAAAGTGAAAAGATCAAAAACCCTAACTTTTGTTGAGAGAGAGAGTGTGTGTTTTTGTGTGCGGTAGAGAGATAGGAGCAAAGGAAGAAGAATGCTTGTGTTGATGAGAGAGAGAGTAGTTTTTGGGTTTGGGCGAAGGTTGGCAAATGGTGAAGGAGAGAGATATCTGGGGCAGTAGGGTTGCAGAGAATATCTGGTTCGTGGGAAGTGAGTGGGTTGGCAGGAAGGAGAGAATACGACTTGTTCATTGCTCACGCCATGTCAGGCGCATTCTGATTTCTAATTTCAGCTCCGTCGGGGAAATGTGAAGAGAAAACAATTTTTTAGCTGAAGCCTGGAGTACAGATTTCTTCATTTTTGGCTTGAAATGGGGAAACGATTTTTAGGCCAAAACATTTTTCCATGCCAAAATTTAGATCCAAACACTGGAAACCAGTAATTTCCATAGAAATACATTACAGGAAATACTTTTTCAGGGATCCAAATGATCCCTCAAGAGACGGAAAAAAAAGGTCCATAGTGGTTAGTTACTGATTTTTTTTCTATTGTGAACATAATGATCTAGAGCATCAGAATTTCCATTTTCGTCATAATTTGTTTCATTAAAGTTTGATATATGGCTTTGTTCTGTTGTACATTATATTGGTTGATTTCCTTGGTTTCTGTGACTCGGATTTGATAGTTGTATAGATACTATAGAAAGATGAGTAAAGGAGATTTCAAGTGCCCACAGTGATTAGTACCTGGGGCTTTTAGGTTTCTTTAAATAATTTAGTTGGTGTCATGCATTTGAACATGAAATTGAGTCACCAAAATGATATATGTGGCCAAGCTCATGGAGGATCCCTGTTTCAAACTTCAAAGACAGGTTTTAGCCATTGTAGTTTTCTCCAGAACCCTCCTTGGGGCAAGAGAGGAATTCATTAGGGGTTGTGGATTGGACCTGGCTTTGGACTGAGACCGTGAGGCTGCCGGAGAATAGAGCGAATTTTTGAGCAAGAAAGAGAAGGGGTGGGCTGTGAAGTGAGAGGGGTTCGGTAGGAAAGGGCAAGGGGCTATGAGGGTGGTGAATGAAATGAGGGGGAAAGGGCCCTGTGACGTCCAAATTCATGAATGCTATGGATGTAATCTCTCCCCTGCCCCCCTCTTTCAACCTTTCAGTACCTGTTCAAAAGAGAGAATGAACAGGAACAAGAGGTGCAGTTCGCAACATGTTCAAGGATTGTGTCTAAATTTTTTCAGAGGTGTAAAGGTTAAGGTGAATGACACTCTTCCACTTTCCAATTTCTTAATAAACTGTATGTAATTTGTTTTTGGACCCTCTTGTGCTGGTGTTACTTCTAAATCTACTTCAGTAATCAGTTTCCTATGCATGTTGTATACGGTTTCTTTTGAAACCTTCCCTATTCTTCTCTGTTTTCGGAAGGGGATCTATGTTAAAGAGTCATTAGATTCAAAGAAAGAGTTAACTCTGTTAAGAATCTCTCACTTTTTTGAGAGAGTACAAGAGATCCGTTTTCCTCGATCATGGACTAAGCGTGCATTCTTGTTTCTTCTTTTTTTAACAGTACTAAGCCTGCGTTCTTTTGGTTGAGAGAGAGAGATTGGTCTCACTCCGCAACATCGTCAAAGCCTTTTTTCCAACTAATTGGGGTTGGCTATTTCCATGTGGAGATCAAAGCTGTGTAAATCCTAAGGACCATTGTTGTTCTTTTCTCAATTTTCTGGGAGTCCTCTCTCTCTCTGCAGTCCAAACTTCTCTCTCCTACCATTGCTCTGTTCATAGCAAATTCGAGTTATGCATAACTTTTCGAGTTACCCCATTGCATGAAAATTGAAGATATTGACAAATACTCTCATGAATCCTCTCTATGATATTTCGCACCTCAATTAATTGGCATGATGCCAGTTCCTTTGTAAACTTTTGATTCATCTATTTGAAGCTGGATCTTATGTAGAAGTCCGATGGAAATTACAGTAAACATAGAACAGATATTAGCTTGCATTGGCACTTCTTGCAATGGAATTTCTTCTAATTGGGCACTTTGCATGGAGAGAGAGAGAGAGAGAGAGAGAAGTATTTCTACTCAAAGCAGCTTGTAGGGGCTACAATCCAAGGGTTAATGCTTCATCTATCATCATCCTCAGAGCCTTTTCCAACTATTTGAAAAAGGTTAATAATTGAATAATATAATAAATAATGCAAGATATGTACAAAACAACTAACACAGTAATATTATATTTAATATAATATATTTAAATAATTGGATACAATTATTTGTCACCTAAACAAGCCTATAGTCTGAAATTTATATGTTGTTTACTCCATAGAATTGAACCTTACGAGTATTTTAAGACCTCAAAATTTTGAAATGTAACCTCCTCGAACTAGTTACAAGCTTAAAAACAAAAAACAAAAAGGAATCATACATATGTCTCATCATCAACATCTAAGCCTTGTCCCAATTAATGGCTGCACGAATCATGTTTCACCATCATAGGTTCAGGATTCATGAAAAAATATGGCAAAGTTTTATGCTGGATGACTACTTGACACAACCCTCCTCTTTTATCCGGTTTGGGACCGGTATAACGGGTTTGGGTCCAGCTATGGCAGACTTAAATCATACACATGCCCTAAAATAAAATAAAATAAAATTCAACAGATACCATCCAATATTTAGATGGTCGGATCCAAGTGATTAAGAACTTAAAATCTAAATCATCTGAATGAATTTTTTTTTTAAATAATCGTATGCTCATTCTTCTAAAGTGGACACCAAGATTTCAAATTGAGAAATCCTTTCAAATAGCCCTTGTAGTAGGTCATACATTCTCTTTATTTGAACCCCAATTCCCATTGTATACTTATCTTAGTAGCAGCTACAGCAAATCCAGTTACAACCTTACATATGTACTACCAACATAAAGAAGGAAAAATAGGAAAAAGTTTGTATATGGGCCAAGTTACTTAATATACTTTATGAAAGGAAAACTCTAACAACTACATCACCTACTTTTATGACTTTAGCAACCAATTCCACCTTTCTTTCTACATCTTAATTTTCACCTTAACTTCAACCTTTTATAACTTGCTCCAAACTTGCAAGTTAGCAGGGTGGGGCAATAAGTATAAAAGTCACCAACCCATTCAAGAGGACCTGCAAATGTTTCCATCTGGTTACTGTTTGTATCATATGCCATGAACTTTCCTCTAGAGCGCAGTAAGAAAGTATCACCAATCCAAAGTGTGGGATAAACAAAAGCATATCTCAAACCAAATTCCTTCAAATCAGCTCTCACCTGCTCTACCCAGGTTCTCTCTTCATCTAAAACCCAAATGTGAGCTTCCTTTTCTTTGGTAACCAGCATAATGCAAAGCTTACCTTCTCTATCTTGGATTCTGATGTCTCCCATTATAGGCCTCATTGGTGTGGGGATTTTCTGCCATTTCTCCTTCTTCATGTCAAAAGCCACCACAGAATTCCAATCTGAAGAAAATCCATAGCAAGTGGTGCCAATAGACAGTAACATTGAATTGACACCAGGATGAAATGGTGGTTTCGCTCTAGTTCTCTTCCATTCTCCGGTGATCGAATCGAATATTTGGACTGCCCTGAAATTGGAGAGCGAGTGTTGGTTTCGGAAACATCTGGAGTTCACCAAGAGCAAGAGATCGCGCATTCTGGGGTTGAAGTGGAATGCGAAATTGATCACATCAAATTCAAACTCAGGTAGTGGGATGAATTCCCTCTGGATGAGAGGGTTCCCGATTTCAAATGAGCATGACTTTCTCCATGACATCTTTGTTCGAATTAGACAGCATACCATGCCATTGCTGCAGGCTACTTGATCTAAGCCTTTATTATGAAACAGTGTTTTTTGGGAGGATGGAGGATTGTTGAGCTCAAAATCATTGGCATAAAGCAAGTGCCTCTCATTGCAGTTCTCTCCAAGGAAGACATAGAGAGGCTGTGTTTCTAAGGAAGGGGAAATAGAGAAGATTCTCATAAAGTTGTAACAGGAGAGAAACTGTTCCCATGTTTTCGACACAGCCTTGAATCTGTGTATGGTCTCCAAGGGCAATGCTTTGAGGATATCCACCATTATATCATCAGGTAACATACAGGTAAGAGAACCCATTTCTCCCCTTCTTTCCCTCTCAAAAGAGCAGCAAACACGAGAGATTCCCAATGTAGGGAGCCTAGAAAACCAGTCTCTCTCTCTCTCTCTTGTATGGAGCCTTTAAAGCAACTTCCATCCTTCTCTACCAGAGACTAAAATTGGAAATATTCCTGCTATTCCTGGCACATGGCAATGGTATCCTATGTTAGTGATATATTTGTCGTTAGAAGAGAGTTTTGGGGGGTGTATGACACTTGGGTATTCTAGTCTGCAGGCTCTGCCCTAAATACATTGAATTTATTACATTCAGAGAAGCATTCATGAGGATAAGGTAGAATTATACGTATTATTACATACAGCAAAAGCTTGAGTTCAGAAAGTAATCCCCTCTAAGTTGTTGCCAAGTGATTATTTTTGGAAATAAAAGTTTTGGGCTAAATTGTACATTGGTCCCACAGAAAAAGAACATAAAGGGATTCCGGCCCCGGAATACACGGGGAAACACTTGGATCAATTGCCTTCGGCTTGTGGATTCCTGATTCAGAGGTAGGCGGGTGTATCATCCCTAACTCTCAAATCATCTTTATTCAAACAAAGTGCGACACGAGTGATCTCAAACTCTCAAATCATCTTTATTCATGTTTAAGATCAACTAAGTATGTGTAAGATCATTTTTTGGCATAGCTAGAACCATAAAGTCCCAAAACATAAATAGACAAACACCCTATAAATAATATAGCATGGCCTTATTAAAAATGTAAAATTTTGTTTAATTTATTATTGCTATTTATTATGTTTATTTATTTATTAAGAATTCTTCCAGGGAACCTCAAGTACTTTGATTTTCTCTGAAATATCTCATCATGCTTGAAATTTGATG